ATTTACCATAACATCATATAAATTGACAAATATTTCACTTCTAGTAGACATAACAATAATTGAGAAAATTACCATGTATGTCCACACAAAGATTGTGCTTTCTTACATGTAGGTCATAGCTCTGAAATTCAGGGGGAAAAATGTTTTATTCTTTAGTAGTAGATTATGTTCACAATCAGTCAAAATTTGTAGAACAATGTTATGCTAAAACATGCTAATTTTCCCTTTCTTCCCTCCATACATACCATGCATATGTTCTGATGTCACTAAGAAAATGCAATTTAAAGCTATGGCAACATTTACCAATAGAGGGAAGCTGCCTATTTTCTTATTTCAGTGTAGGCTCTAAGGAGACATTCTAAGATATATGAAATACATATATAGACTTAAATGACACTTTCTTATAATTATGAGAATAAATACAACATAGTACAAAAACAAATGGATGAAAAGTTTACAAAAAAGTTGGTATCTAATAAAATAAGCTTTCAGGTTTTACAAGCAAATTATAATTCACCCTTCATGTCTTATACAGGAATACTTGTTCAAGCATGCCTTCCATCTGCTTACTGTAGTGGAGATTTACTGTTAGAAATTTTTGTATTATTCTTCACTGGTGTACTTTATGATCCTTCACTGAACTTTGCTCCTTTCTCCTTAAATGTGAGAGCAGTAACTAATGTGCTGAGGCACTGAGGAAGTTCTAGTAGTGTACCCGGGTCAAGATACTTAGCTTGAAATTTACGCATTTTGTTGATAGTATGTATGCTTATTTTCTCTTCTCTAGTGCAAGTAATTAGTATAATCAAACTTCTTAAACTTTCTTTTTTGTCTTGGAAGGAAAGGTTTATTTTTCCTGAAGAGTTACATAGGGTTCTGCAGCTGCAAATCAGCCTCAGATAATGGAAAAGACCATAAACTGCTTGATTCTACAGTTTTTCTTTTTCTTCCATTCTGTAACTTTGTTGCCTCACCTTACTCCAGATTCTCAGTCTGTGGTATGCTTCTTCCTTACGCTGTTAAACAAGTGTTGGAGCAAAGTAAGAGACATTGCTTTGAAAGAATTAGGCCAAATTCATATAACTTATGGATCTATAAATGACTAAAAACTGAACATACTTGACATTATTTAGAGAAAGGAAACATTAGCATCCTCTGTGGTTCTGAATGCTCCAAACCCTAGGACAACTGGGAAATGGTTTGATATGCAGATCATTAGTACTGCAGTTGGAAAGCTGAGGTGATTGTTAATGAGAAAAAATAGTTCACTGGAGTAGCACATTTCGGACAACTTCAGTGCTATAAAAGTACATAGTACACAAAATAAACTTCTGTGAACAGTGCTGAGGAGCATTCAGAGTGGTTTGGACCTGTCTTCTCTGAATTTTATGTGTTTGTATATTACATCAGGATGGATGTCCTCATGTAATATCCAAACCGACTGTCTCACAAAAATAACTGCTGTCATTTCAGATACATCAGCAATAACTTGTTCTGGCAACCATAACCATCATAGTTTAGAACCACCCAATGAATCGGTAACATCATCTTAAATACAAGTGAAATTGTAGGGACCTGCAGTACTGTTCTTTTGCAAGAAAAAGGAAGGATAAATGAGAAGTTTGCATTCCCTATCCTTTCCTCTGCTTATACTCCAGGGTCTCCGGTTATCTATTGCTGTTTTATTCAGTGCAATGGTGACTAGTTACCTCCTCTGTGATTTTTGAGGTCGCATCTTAAGTTGGATGTTTATTACATATAATTCCCTCTGGTAATTTTATCAGATATAAAGAAAAACAGATAGCCAAGTCAAAAAAGAATCTGTTCCATTATGGATGTTAGAACATGAAACAGGGACAGAGCACTAGTCGTGTACTGCCTTAATATTTTTTAACACTATGCTAACTATAGAGATACGGCATGAAAGTTTCAATGATGATTTTTAAAGTTATTACTGTTACTGTTCTGCACAATTCTTAATATAAATACTCTTTTAAGAAAAGACGATCTATAATACTTGGGAAAAAAAAAAAAGAGCTGCTGGTTTAAAGACCTTTCCTTGAGATGGTAGGTGGAAAGATAACTTCACAGAAAAACTCCTGTGTCACCCAAGAAGACTTTTCACTCTCTTCTTGTGCATCTGGCTCTTCTAAGGACAGAATTATGCTGGTAGTTTTAGACAGGCTCCTTAAGCCAATGAAAGAAAATCACTTTGTCTCCATGTAGTCAGTTTGAAAAAGGTAAGTAAATTATAACAGTGGCTCCATGAAGAGTATTTTATATTCCTTCTGTTCTTTCCTGCCTTCCCACCCCAATCTAATTGCAAATGTGCTTTGGTAAAAGACATAGCTTTAATGTTATGATGGCCATAGGAGTGCAAATTACTGGGCTGTAATGGCATGATGCCACTACCATCTTTGGCAATAGATGACAGTTAATTGCAAAACCCCTTTCAGAAAAAATTACCTGATGATCATTTTCCTCCTAAATTTAGAAGAAAGGACAAGTAGAAGAGCCTTCTTGAAAGGGAAGAGATTATTTAGGTGAATGGATATTTAAAAAAAATTACCATCAACTCACGAAAATGTATTGAGTTGCTGCGTGCATCAGCAATCGTAGCTTACATTCACAGACATGATTTTTACCAGGCATACCACTGCCACCATCAGCAACATCATCTATTTCACAAGGGGAGCTTGTAGAAGAAGAAAAACTATTAAACTACAAAGTTTGTTTTGGTTTTTTTTTTAAATTCCCAAAAGACAAAAATTTCGTTTCTCAAGTCAGTCATTTCTGTGATATAGTGAATACACTAACAGGGGATAAACTGGATATCACATATAGACAGCATGATCCAATTTGATTCTTTCCCACATACCCAAATGCCTATTTCTATAAAGGAATCACTCATAGTGATTATTAAAAACCAAAGTTTTCTGTTTTATGAAATTGTGCATAGAATCATAGAGTGGATTGGGTTGGAAGTGACCTTAAAGGTCATCTAGTCCCAACTCCCCTGCCGTGGGCAGAGACAGCTCCCACTAGACCAGGTTGCCCGAAGCCCCATCCAGCCTGGCCTTGAACACTGCCAAGAAGGAGACTTCCACAGCTTCTCTGGGCAACCTGTTCCAGTGCCTCACCACCCTCATAGTGAAGAACTTCTTCCTTACATCTAGTCTAAATCTGCCTTCTTGCAATTTAAAGCTGTTACCCCTTGTGTAGAGGCAATTCAAAAGGAAGTGTTTCTATCTGAAGTACTCCTCATTCTAGGAAATGATGGCAATTGAGAACTCGGTCAATAAAATACATTTTTCAATTTGAAATTGTGGTTCAGTTTGTTGCATTGGACAGCTGTTGCTACAGACTAGTATTCTTTAAGGAGACCCGTAGGCAAGGAAGAGATTTTTTTTTTTGACGATGAGGTCCTCTAGCCTGTATCCATCCTTCACTGATGTTCCTTCTGTTTTGGAGGAATGGTTAGCTATACCTTGTGCTTGTAGGTTATTATGATCATCTGAAGAAGTGAAACAGTACCCAGTGTATCGAAGCTCAGAGTAATATGAAGGTCCTCTATTTATACCACATTCTGGAGCAGATTAGTGTAACACCACTGTCACTGTTTTCAGTGAAGAAAGTGGGTTGAATGGGTATGAAATGATGGTGTGAGGAGACAAATGGCCAGCCTCTAATCTACTGCCATTTGTATCTTCTGGCAGACAGTCCAAAAAGTTTCTAGAAACAGACACACTTGTACTCCTTGGTGAGGAGTAAGAAATCAGGAAGTCAGTCTTTTTAGCATTTGTAATACACAAGGCACCAAGGACTGACCTCTTTGTATGATGCACCGAGTATTGATAGTTTTGCTGCTCTGGGTGTGCAGATGCTCGGTTTTAGCAATCCTTTTAACTACTCTGTCTCATGGGCAGGAAGGGTCCTGTGAGTCTCACTAGCTGTTGCTTTGTTTTCATAAGCCTTGTGCCATGTTTGAGAGGAAGGAATAAATTGACTGAAGGTTAATATATAAGGAAATAAGTTTTTCCTCCAAGCAATTGAGTCAACATACTAAAATACCCCAAGACAGACTAAGAAACTGGAGTTTTAGAAGAATATTAAGAAATATTCTATTCAGGTGCTTTGTTTATGTCAGGACAGTCAGGTATATATTGTTGATGAGTAACAGTACTAATTTAACTAAAGATAGTTTGTAATGAAAGTCTTTTCAAAGAAGTGCTCTATGTATTTACTTCTATTATTACTTTTATGGTTATGTGGATCTACAGTTCGAAGAGTGAATTTCAGTAGCACAGAATTTCAAAGATGTAAGGATTTGTTTGCCACGTTGCTTTTTCCAGAGCCATATCATCTTTGTTGAAAGTTAACAAATTTGTTGGCTGGAAACCTCTGCTGGTCAAGTGCCACCCAGAAGTTTCTTCCTGTATTTTCTACTGATTTTTAGTCACCTAAATTCCAACATCCTATAACAAAGCAGAGCTCTAATATAGAGTGGCTCAAAGGCACTCTGTAAGTGAACACAGGGAGGGACTGTGTCTACAGCATGGCCCTGGGAATTGCAAAACCCGCCTTCTGCTTGAGTTATCATTGCCTACTGTGTGCCCCACTGCACTGTTACAGCAACATCACTGATTCTCTCTTTGCCCTTGTTTACTGATCCAAGTGTCAGTACCGAAATATACACTCCTTATCCAGGTACAATGCCAAATAAGGACTGTGTGCTCTGTACTTATCTTGCAAGATAAATTTTCTTTAAAAGCATTAGAAAACAAGTAAAATGCTTTCAAAAGTCTGTGGGAGAAAAGAAAGTTACTTAATTGTACAATATTTTGAAAGATCTTAACTAGTTCTCCACTTAAAGAGTTTTCCTGTGCTCTGTGTGTTTTATGAAGTCCGACACAAATTCTGTAAAGGTGGCATGAAGTTTTAAGAGATGCCTGATGCTGTAGAAGAGTAATGAGTTGTTTTTCTCCTCCTCTTTTGGGCAGTTTTGGTATGAATCATGATGGAATTGGAAATTCCTGTGGGACCAAAGGTCATGAAGCAGCAAAGCTAATGGCAGCTCACATTACAGCAAACACCAACCCTTTCTCTTGGTCAGCCTGCAGTCGGGATTACATCACCAGTTTTTTAGAGTAAGTAATCTCTCAAGAAAAGTCATGAAAAATTATGAGTTTTCAAAAAAATGACATCTTTGAGAATAAATAGTAGAGGTACAGTGGCCTGTGCTAATGATTTACATTTTTAGAATGAACAGACAGAAATAAAGCACGTTACAATTTTTATTTTTAGAGCACTTTTTCTATGTAATGATAAAAGCTTCTTCTGCTCCATTCCCCACCTTGGAGTTCAAAATATTTTAAAGTGCTGATCATATCTCATTACTTCATTAACTGAGGGCGTGAAATAGAGAAGGGTAGAATTTGTCTATGAATGGTGGGAAGTACTTTTTTTAAAGACATGTGTTATGGTGGAATCTAATGAAGGGAACAGAGTTGTAGCCCTACTCCTATACGTTTTTCATGCAGTCTTGCGGGGTTTTTTCTCTCAATATTCTTTGGCACCACTGATGACAATATAAAGATTATAGGAGAGGATGGCATAGATCTTTGTATCAATACCTTAAAATGTTACTAACTTGTACTTCTGTGGTGATTTTTATCCAGAAGTAGATTGCTACCTGAAATTTTACTTCTGTATGAAAAAATGTAAATTGTCAAAACATGTTAGTCTCAAAAATATGCACGTATCAATGTATGCATTGGTATAGATAATTCATAATGAAGCTTTTGTATGTGTTTTAATTTGTGGAAGATAAACACAGAACTGTGAGTTCACTGAGAAGAGATGAATAACAGGATTTTTCAAGACGGTGTAAGATGGGCCTTATAGGAGTGAGTGGCAGCTGACTGGTTCAGTGTCATCAGTGCAGTCATTCCTTTAAGAAACAAAGGTTGTTCAATAGTTCAGACACTGTATTTTAGGAGGTGGACTTGAACTAGTCAAGTGGCCTAACCCTGAGATAACTAAGAGCAAAATAAGCTTCTCATCTTTAAGGGTTCTAATGTTTGAGTAAGGGGCTGTACTCTGAATCTTGCTTGAAGAGACCCATTCACACTGATAAACTGTCTTCAGGTTGGTTCACGTGTAGCCTGCCACACAATGTAGAGGATTGCTGAGTTGATCTGAAGAGGTGTTTGAGCTCCCCATAGAGTCATAGGGCAGAGACAGACCTTTAATGTTGGTGCTGTTCAAAGGGGAAAAACCTAAGTTATTGTGTCAAGTTAAGGCATTTTGTATCACCCCACTGAAGTGTGCACCCACTCAATTTTATGTACTGGAGCATTTGAGAGGAGTGTATGAATTAAAGCACACAGAATAAGTCATCCTTATGTGTGCATTATACATGTTTCTCACACTATTAATTGACTTTCTCAGGAGAGATGTCTTCATGTAAGACTACCATTGTAGAAGAATGTACAGGGTAATTTTGTTTTATCATTACCAATTGTTTCTGTTAATTCAACACTGTTTGTATTAGTAGTCTTTCTAGTAGATCATGTAGTCTAGTTTTAACTATGACAAAGAATACAGTTTTTGCATCTCTTCTGAGGGATTATTTCATACCGTAGTAATTCTGACTGTAAGCTTACGGCTCGGGTGTTTTCTTGTAGCATTTGGGGGTTCTTTTCTTATTACTGCAGTTCTGCTATTCTCTATCTCACTTCTATTTGTTGCTCTCCTCTGAACTTCATTTTGATCCCATAACTGTTCTGACAATAAAGTCTTTTGATGAAGACGTATTTCAATAGATAGCTAAGAAGTAATTTCTTATTGATAGTTTTAGAGAAAGAACTGGTAAAATTCTGTAGCTTGTGTTATACTGCAAAGTTAATAGAGCTGAACGTTCGTTCATAATGTTTCCGCACAGTTTTAAATTTCAGCCTTAACAAAATCTTCCAAAATATTATTGCCAATTAAGAACAGATTTAGCTTGTCCCTTTCTACTTTGTGTTCAATTTATTAATGTATTTTATCATTTACTGTTTGCATCTCTGTTATTCTTTTCCATTCCTTAGATTTGATTCACTGTTAAATTTCATTTTTACGTCTGTGGGGTGCCAGTGAAATTGTAGTTATATTAGCATAAAGCCAGAGTAGCACTCTGGTGAATCTGTTCCATAGTTCTAATCTCTTCAGATTTTTAGAGATACTTCTCTATCATTGCCAGTGTTTGCAACTCTACTTGAATTACTAGCACTTGTGAATTTCATAAAAATTAATTTGTGAATTTCATAAAAGTTCAGAAATGGTAGTAATTCAAGTAGTGTTCTCGTAGAAACATCATTACTGAAGTTACTAAGTGATATTTGAGTTAGAGTTAAAAAAAATCTACACATAGCAGCTACAATAATAAGTTGTATTTTGTAATATTTTATCTGTATTTTTGCTACCTTGGATAAACATTATTTTATGCATTGCAATTACGAATAGATTTTCCAATTGTGTTAAATACCGTACTAAGAGCCAAAGATAACTTCTTCTTCATCTGCTAATTTTGCAATGTGTTTTAAAAGATGTCAGATTTGCAAACATGTTCTGTTCATCCTCAGTCTGTGCTTCTTATTACGTGTAGTTTTAATATCCTATAAGTGAATTGATACTTAATACTGATAAAAGTGAATTGATACTAAAAAAAAATAATTGTTTTCTTATTTCATAAAGTAGAATAGTCTGTAAAACTATAGGTTTTTTTTTTCTTCAATTTCTAGTTTTCTTCTTGGCTTTTGACAGCAGGAACGTGTTGAGATCAGAGCTACACAGGTACCTGCATGGTTGCTGTCAGAAGCATAGATCCCTTCTTCTTACCCATTCGCATTTTTCCTTAAGGCAGAACAGCTTTAAGAGCAGATACTTTTCTGTTTCAGGTAATGAAGAGTGAGCAAGAAGCAAAGAAAAATAGTGAGTTTCCTGTAATAGCAAATCTGTGACTGGTCCTATAAGAGCAGAACAATCTGCATCCATACAGGAAAAATTGTTTTTTCTAGTACTGATTTAGAGCTTTAGAGGCAAAGCTTCAAGAATTTGTCATCTGTGTCACCAGATAGATTAGACTTTGCCCCATTTCTTTCTATGTTTCCTCAAGAATGGGAGAAGAGCTTGGACAGGATGCAGTAGAAGGAAGACAAGTGTTTTTTTTTTCTTTGATGAATGAGTATAGCTAGTTTAGGATTCATTTAGCTATGTCTAGCAAGAAAGATAGAAGATGATGCTGTGAAATGCGGATACCCAAAGAGAAACCTGAGACCATGAGTCTGTATGACATACACGTCTTATGTTTATCAGCTTGGATCTGGATACAAATTTGGGCAGGGCTGTCATGGCCCCAGTACAATGCAGCTAGAGTGAACTTTGTGAGAAGCTCATTACGTGTTCACAGTATTATATGGTAAGGTAGATTAATGTGGATTCACTAATTTACCAATGTGGGTCAGGACTTGCTAAAGCAATTTTTTGTCATGTGCTGTTTTGTAGTGTAGACGCCATATTGTCCTTTATCATCAGACTGAAACATTTTGAAACAGAAGTCATCCTGGTGACACTCAAAGTAGAGCCTCACCTTCATCCTTCTCTTCCTGAAGACTTTCTTAAAACTGAACCCAGAAACACATTTTTGAGAATGAGACTACTGAGGAATTGTCATTAAGTATCACTTGGAAGATATCAATTCAGTCAGGCACTAGTTGGGAAAGCAATTAGTTCTGCAGGATGGCCAAACAGAGCAAGGGTATGGCTCCAAGGATGACGATAAGACAAAGCAAATTATATATTGCTAACAGATACATCAAAACTCAAAAGATTGCCAGCCAGCACATGCTTTGAAATGGCCAAAATACTTCTTTCTTTTTCTGGGGAAAACATTGCTTCCTGCATGTAATACCTGTTATCTGTCAAGCTTTATGTTAGATTGAAAGATTGACTGAATACAGTTTATCAACTTAACGGCTTTAAATTTCATGTGCCTTTTAAGGATTGAAATGCAGGAATACTCACTGAGAATTGAAGGGTTGAAGAGATTCCTGTGAGAGGGGTAGAACCCCCTAATATCTGTTTGTGGCTGAATACTTATTAACATAAATTTCATTCTGTGCAACATATCTTTGTACATATATCTATCTATCTAAATTTATCTGTATCTATCTTATCTATCTATCTAT